GCAAGCCCAGTGCGGCTCTGCAGACCCCAGGTCCTTATTGCAGGGACCACCGTGCGGGGCTCCGCAGCTAGGGGTGCCAACGGAGCAGGCGGGGCTGAGAGGGGGAAGGATGCGCTCCTTCCGTTGTACTTCCAGGCTGACCATGGAGACTTCCAGCTCGCGCGCAATTCCGCGTTGTCGGCGCACGCGCCTTTGCTGAACCGGCTCTGGTGTTTCAGTGTTGCAGACCAGCTTTGTCGAGTTCCCTTGGAAATCCCAGCCCGCGAAGCGCGCCTGCTTAGCACCTGGCGCAGCCCGGGCACTCCAGCTCAGAGATGGCCCTTGGCCGGGGCTCCAGGAAGAGCAGTTTGCCTGGCTTTCCCTAGTGTAGTTGGAAAAATCTTGAGAGATATGATTTAGTCGCAAGCCTTGAGTTTAAAAGATAAAGCTGGGGTCCAACCAGATACTCTTGGGTGACTATTAGAGACTGTGCATTCGTGCAACAGATGCACAGAGCTGCCGCCGTGGCTGCACCCTGAGGACAAAACTGTATGAGGCGCGCCGCATGGAGCACCTCCCGGGTGGGCACAAGCCCAGCGCAAAGCAAGTACTCAAGAACGATTTAATAGGTGAAAGACCGGAATAAATAAACGTAATAAACTATCACGGGAAGGACATAATTATTTTCTAGATGGTAGCAGGGAGAGAGCGAGCGAGCGAGAGAGAGCGAGAGTGTGTGTGTGTGTGTGTGTGTGTGTGTGTGTGTGTGTGTGTGTCATAATGATCTAATTTAGTGCCCACAGAAGCCTTATGTAAAATCATTAGTCCCAGTTAGCTTGTGCAGCTCAGAAAGCGTATGTACCTTTCCCAAGATGGCAGGGAAACGGGTGGCAGAACTGGACTAAAAAGTAGAGTGAATACCCTTAGCATCTGGATGCTGGGAGATGCCTTCCTGCCTGCTTAGGGCCACACGGTACACAGCCGATGAATCACAGACCACACATTGTTTTCCACCTCTAGATTCTCTATCATTGCATTAGGGTCTCTCAAGCAATGAAAACCTGGGGGAAACTGAGGCACCCCAATACAGAATGTTGGGATAGCAACTGAAAGACAATCAGTTGCTTTGTGAATGTGATGCTGGTATCGAAAATGTGTGCACAGGACACCTACAGTTTTGACTGGCTGGATTCCCAGCACCCTGCACCCAGATGTAGGCATGACCATCAGTCAAGGAGAGCAGCAGTCTCTAAGCCCATCCACAGCCCATGGCCCAGTATGGGTAAAATGGCACAACCCCCCAGGAGGACTCAACAGAACCCTTTCCTGGTGAGACAGGGACCATGGGATTAGGCAGAGTAGGGTGAGGGCCTCCAGAGAAAAAGCAGAGCAAGATAGCTTGCTCTGAAGAAGTCAGAACAATGTAGCAACGTGCAAAGAAGTCCCTATTGAAACTGTTATAAGCATTATGCAAAGTCAGAGTCACAGTAATTCTCTAGGGTAAAAATACCAGACTAGGAATATAGACATCTTCAGTGAGATCAGTTAAAACTCAAAAGGCCAGCAGCAACTTAGCCTGGAATGTTTTGAGTGTTCTGCAGATAAAAGTGTCTCAGCATAACCCATGACTTCACTGTAAAATTTACCTTAGCCTGCTAAAATGCCCAGCTTATTTTAACCGTACCTATGTGCTATATTTCCTTCTCTGACCCTAACCAAGTAATCTGCAACCTAGGAAAAAGACTAATTTAGTAAGCAAGCCCAACTATAAACAGCCTAAAAAGTTAAGAAGTAAGATTCTTAACTTACTTCAGCAAACAGGCAACAACCCAGCCCACCTTGGGGCAGGGTAGGTGGTCTTAACTGACATGCTCCCAGAGGGAAACTGCTATCTTGAGAATCAGAGCTGAAAATCTCCTCTGTTACTCATCAAGAAAGAGCATTCTGGGACCACTCAACAAGTCTGCACCCCTAACCCTTTACCCTCATTCCTGAAAATCCTCAACCGTGCATAAAACCCCTAGACAATGAGCCAATGACGGACTCTCTTGTCCCATCCTGGCGTGAGCCTGGAGCTCTGTCCTCTCACTTTCTCTCTAAATAAAAGCCTGTACCTTGCTCTCCTACCTTGAGTGTTTGTGAAGCTCATTCTCCGACTTCGTGAACAAGAACCCCGGCATCACTGGGATGTTTCCAAGGTGCTGGGTAGAGAGCTCTTGCCCCCCTAGTGGCTGAAATTGAAGGTGGTGGTCTGGGGCTACTTTGAGCTCTGCTCAATCATGGTAAAAGAGCACATCCATAGTGGGAGGAATTAGGCTGACCTACTAAGTACAGTTCATATCCTTGCTTATGATGGTTAATTCTGTGTGTCCACGTCACTGGGCGATGGGATGCCCACACATTTGGTCTAACATTATTCTGAGTGTGCCTGTGAGGGTGCTTCTGGATGAGATTAGCATTTGAATGGACTGAGTAGAACAAAAAGGCTGAGGACGGAAGTCTACCTGCTTATTGAGCTGGGTCATCAGTCCCTTTCTGCATTTGGACTTGAACAGAAACCCTGGCTTTTCTTGGGTCTCTCAACCTGTTGGCTTTCAGACTGGAATTAAACCATTGGCTCCCTTGAGTCTCCAGCATGCCGACTGCTCAGCTTCCGATTTATCGATCTATCTCTATACAGACATATATGTACGTACGAATAAAGATCAATAGACAGACCTCCTATTGGTTCTAGTTCTCTGGAAAACCCTGACTATACATCTTTTTTCTAATTAGGAAATGTATTTGGAGAGAGTAATAGCTCATCCGGCCTTACAGTTTAAGCATTGAGCTTTAAACTTCAAAGCATATTTTCTTAGCCATTACACACACCATACTGCTTACATTCATGTGAAAATAACATCCAACTGAACAGCCTCCACACTTAGGCTTGCCCACTCCATACTCTGCACACAGCTTGAGATAGTGACGTCGTCAGCCCCCAGGCCCTTAAGGCTCCTCAGACCACCTTTCTCTAGGGTTCAGTGCGCCTCCTGGGTCTTTATTTCCTTCTAGGACCAAAAGGAGATATTGCCCCCACTCAACCACTCCCTGGGCTCTGAAGCTCACCGGGACTCCTTGGTGCTGTCCTGCTTCTCACTTGGTGGCCCCTGACATTTGCTGGGGCCAGCCCTGGCCCTAGGTGGCTTTCTGCTGAGATGGTCCATGCAGTGTCCCTGACCTGTTCCTGGTTGCCAACCATGCCTTTCCAGGGGCTTTTATGGGGATTTGCTGTGTGCTAGGCAGTGTGCAGATCCCATAGCCATCCTGCCAACCACCCTGTGTGGTGCTGCAAAGAAACAGGCTCCACAAAGGACAGTAAGTGGCTAAGTGGCTAAGTGGCGAGGCTGCAGTCAGGGCGGGGTGGCCCTCAGTCTGGGCTCCCAGTGACCACTGGATCCTTGAGGAGATTCCTGGGCACTCTGGGGAAAAATGAGGCTGAGGCTAAGGGTTGGGACGTGGGTGGGAGGTGGGAGACCAACAGCAGGTTGGAGGGATGTGCAGGACAGTGGCTGTTGAGCTAGAGACACGTCCAGGGTGGGCTTGGGTTCCTGAGGGAGGCCTGGTGTGCAGGGAAGCGGGATGAGCAGTGGCAGGGAGGCAGGGCGTAGAGCCACCAGCTGCACCCACAGCCCCAGAAGTGGCCAGGGATTGAGAACAACAGTGTCCTGCTTAATTAGATGCTGCTAAAACCAGGGGCACAGCCAGGTAGAGAACATGCCGAGGAGTCCTTGCTCTGGGCTCCTGAAGTGCTGACCCGATCAGAGGGAACGTTGGGAGAAATCAGCCCTGGCAACTGAGCATAGGAAAGGGACTCTGGTCGAAAGGCAAAGGCCATTCAGCCCATCTCACCAGCCCTGCCCAACAAGGGAAGTCACAGTGACCCTGCTAAACGTTCACCATGCATGGCAGCTGTTCCCTTGCCCCCTCCTCCAGGAAGCCCTCTGGAGCACACACTTGCAGCTCCATGATCTAGGGAGGAGAGCAGAGGGGCACTTCTGGGGCATGTTGGGCCACATGGACGACTGCAGAGCTCTGCTCTCAACGGTGGCCTACTAAGTGCAATGGCCTGAGTCCAGACTTGGTGCTGAGGCTGCAGGACGACCCCGCTGCACCCTGCTCTGCTGCTCAGCCTTCCCTTGAGGTTACCCATGTGGTGTTAGGCAACAGTGGGGAAAAGGAAGGCTCCCCTTCAGGCCAGAAGACTGAATCCCTGGGAGCACCAGCAGACAGCCAGAGGTGCCTTAAGCTCTGAGGCTGATGTCCAGAGACCTCCAGCCCTCTCCCTGCAGTGGGGTAGTCACCCAGAGTGGGGTACTCCAAAACCCTTAGTGACCACAGGGATCCGAGTGTGGCCTGGAGAGGCCAGGAAGCCCAACCACAGGCCTTCAGGGCAGGGTCATGGCAGGTTGGGTTGCAGTGGAGGAGTCTGGGAAGCTCCTCAACATGGGGTGGTAGTGGTGTCCAAGATAGTCCAAGAGGGAGCAGAGGGGGCAGAAGGTGCACTATTGTTGATACCCGGGGGGCACCCAACTGGCTGAGTTCTTCCATGCACATGCAGGGACTGAGGTCCGAGAGTACACCTGAAGATGGCCAGGCCATGGCCCAGCTGCTGTGGCCTACACCTGTCAATAGGTGAACGCCACAGGCCCCCCTTCTCACAGCTGGAGGCAGCCAGGTGCTTGGCATATGGGCAGGGGTGATGAACAGGAGGCACCTTCCACTGACGGGTGGACTTCATGCAGCCACTGCCAAGCACAGAGGCACACCAAGCACGTGTGTCTTCCTGCATGAAGAATGTCCTCCAGTCACAAAGGAACCCAATGACAGAGATCCCACACCTGGGGTGACAACGGGCAGCCTTGGGGAAGTCAGGCCTCTACATCAGTGACCAGGGAGCCCAGGAGACTCACAGGGTCGCCACTCCTCTCCCGGGGCTAGGATGAGCGGCAACCCCAAGGCCTGGCCCAGGCAGGTGCGGCTCCTGTTGCCATCAGAATTTATTTGGGATTCTTGGCATGCGGGCTGGTTCTGCCAACTGGGAAGGGTGGAAAGGCGGGAGCCCACCTCTGGAGCCTCCCCCACCCACTACTCCCGGTAGTGGACCCTCTGGTGCTGGATGAGCTGGGAGCTCTGGCCAAAGGCCTTGCCACAGGTGCCGCAGGTGAAGGGCTTCTCGCCTGTGTGGGTCCGCAGGTGCCGGCAGAAGTGGGAGCGGCCCCGGAAGGCCTTGCCGCAGGCGGAGCACTCATAGGGCTTCTCGCCTGTGTGGATGCGCTGGTGCTCGATGAGCACGGAGCTCCAGATGAAGGCCTTGCCGCACTGGCTGCAGGCGTAGGGCCGCTCGCCCGTGTGCAGCCGCTGGTGGCGTACCAGGTTGGAGCTCTGGCTGAAGGCCTGGCCACACTCGCCGCACTTGTACGGCTTCTCGCCATTGTGCGTGCGCAGGTGCTGTGTGAAGTGCGAGCTGTGGCTGAAGGCGCGGCCACACTGGCCGCACTCATAGGGCTTCTCGCCTGTGTGGATGCGGTGGTGCTGGATGAAGCCCGACCAGCCACGGAAGCGCTTGCCACACTCCTGGCAGGCGTATGGCTTCTCCCCCGTGTGGATGCGCTGGTGCTTTAGCAGCAGTGAGTTGTACTTGAAGCTCTTGCCGCAGGCCTCACACCTGTGGGGCTTCCCACCTGGGGCACCACCCCGCCCGAAGCCAGCCCCCAGCTCGGAGCCCCCCTCAGTCCCAGGGGCCCCCTGTGGCAGGAGCGCCACCTGCCAGGAGCCCCTCTTCTGCATGTAGGGCGTGACCCCTGGAGGCTGGCCAGTTGGCAGCTCCAAGCTGGGCTCCTGTCCAAAGCCGTCCCCACACTTGGGTCTACAGGGAAGGCTCCTCAGAAGGGTCCTCAGCGCCCCCCCGGCCTGATCCACCTCATTTTCAGGATGGTGCGGGTGGGGAGACGATGGAGCCTGCTCGGACTCTGACTCAGAATCTAAATGAGAAATGGTAGAATGGCAGAGATGGAGGTCACCCACCCACCCACCAGCCATCCCTCCACAGGGCCCCTGCATGCCATCCTAGGGGAGAGGGCAAACCACAGTGCTGGGGGCCAGAGTGGGGAGGGCCTGGCTGGACACTCAGACGAAGAGACCAGCAAAGACAACCTGCCCAGAACCCTGGCAGGGCAAGGGTCTCACTTTGGCCCTCTCCAAGGTGGCGCCTCTTGGGAGGCACTGCAGGCTCACATCCCTCCAGAGCTGCCTGGGGACTGGACACCTGGGGACAACTGCTTCCTGGCCCAGCTCCCCTTCCACTCAGGAACCTCCTGACTCTGTGGCAGGGTCTACCTCCCAGGGGCCTGACCTCAGACACCTCGTCTCCCAGTGTGGGGTGGAGACCCTGAGGAGACAGGTGGCGGTGGGCGAGCAGGGGGGTGCTGAGGGTCTGGATTAGTGCAGCCCCAGCCAGGCCACGGGGAGAAGGGATGGGGACAAGAGCTCAACTTAGGGACAAGTGGAGGCTGGGAGCACCACACAGCACAAAGAGGGGCAATGGTGCTAAACTGAAGACCTCAACCTGGCAGGCAGGTGGCTACAGGAGTCTGGGACTCAGGGGAGAGGTTGGAGCTGCACTCAGAACCTTGGGGACAGTCAGTGACAGGACTGGCGCCGAATGAGGGAAGGGCAGTGGGAGGCGGAAGTGAGTTCTGAGCCAGGGACAAGGGGGCCAGTGCTGTAACAGTACTGGTGCCTGAAGCAGCAGGCACCGCAGAGCCTGGCATGGGGCAGCCACAGGCAAATGTCCTCACTCACCTGGCCAGCAGGTGTCTCTCCCAATCCGGACCTCCTCCACATCCTGAAGATCCAGGTCCGACAGTTCCTCCTCCAGCGGTGACTGAGAAAACACCTCAGGGCTGCAGGTGGGGGATCCTGGGGGCATAGAGGCACTGGGGTTCACCTTCCCCTCTTCTTGAATCGAGCCTAAGGCTCACTCGGTCACCTGCAGGATGCCACCCACAGCTGGGTCGTGGCCGCAGCACAACACACCTCTGTGCCCTCTTGGTGGCTCAATGGGGCAGCTGCTCCCCAAGAACTTTGAAGGGTTGGGTGTTCAGGAGATGGTCGCAGCCATGACACTCCTTCTTTGTCCAGGAGCCCCAAGGCACTGCTTGCCTATGCTGGGTCGGGGCTGGGGGCGGTTCCTAACCGACAGCCACCTCTGGGCCTTTCCAATGCTCTCCTAGCCCCTCCCCAACGTGCGGCAGGCCTGGGAGCACAGGCCTCTCTGAGCTTCAGCCCTCACTTCCTTCGCCCACAACCACCACCTCTTAAGGCCTGGGGCCTGGCTGGGTTGTGCCCCATCTAGACAGGCTGACATCTGCAGCAGCCTGCTCATGTGGTCTGTCCTGGAGTGCCCTCCCATTGCTCAGTGCCACGTCTCCCCAACACTGGCACCTCCAGAGTGGCTGAGGCCCAGGACAGCGAAGCTGGCCCTAACAGTGACAGGTCCCGGTCTCTTGTGCAGGCCACACTGTCAGGGCTGGTCTTCCAGAGGCTGGGAGGGCAGTGGGCTCTGTTCTGGCTGGAAAGGGCTTCTCTCTTCACCCCTGCCTTTCCCCAAGCGGACTAAACAGTCCCTAGGGACTGTCCACTAGGGAGCCATCACTCACATCAAGCTGTGCCCAGCACCCAGGTGGTTGCCTCAGTTACATCTCCCAGGGGGTGACAGGTGGGCAGTGCTGGGGGCCAGTGCAGTGGCAAGGCAAGTACCGTGTTGGTGACTGTAGAGATGAAACCGGGCCTTGTGGTGGTGGGCTCCAGGAGTCCCTGGTGACTCGAGATTGACAGGGGATGGGACATGAGAGGGCTCCTGACTGTCCCCCAGGGCCGCCATCTTAAGGCCTGCTGAAGGAGTGCCTGCCTGGGACCTGGGGAAACAAAGACCACAGTAGGATGAGCGGTCAAGGGATGTGCAGGGGCAACACCAGCCACTCACTGATTAGCCACAGGTGAGCTGGGGAATCCTTCGCTGGGTGAGAGGGACAGGGATGGGAGAGGGGCCAGGTGGGTCCTGGGGTGTGAGGTGACAGGGTCCCTGCTATGTTTACTCCCCAGCGCAGACAGCACACCTGCAAGGACCAAAGAGGCTCTTGTCCCAGCGATGGCCTGGAGTGTCCTCCCAACCCACAGCCTCGCCCCCAGAGAACAGCATGCTGGTACTCCCAGAAAAGCATCCCGTGGCATGGCACAGCTTGGGCTGCTGGCTCTGGGGGACGGCAAAACTGAATCTTGTCTGCTGGGGCATGACCATCCTATATTAAATCTTAACATTTCTGAGAAGAAAACCCCTCTTCCTGAGACCTGGCAGAGCCGTCGACGCAACAGGCTGCATCTCCCACATCCCAGGCCTGCCCACGGTGCTCAGAGCCTCTTCTGGGGTCAGAGATACTTTAAGTTGGTTTGCAAGAATGGTTTGGTCCAACGTGAGAAGTGTTCTTCTTTCACACAGTGACAAAGTAGAATTCCTTATTTGGTGGGTAGAAACGCGGAAAAGACAACAGGTAAGATATATTCAGCAACCAGAGCCCTGAGGTTGCAGGCAGCACCTGCCTCAAGGAGTGTGGAGGCAGCCCCACGAGGGCTCCTCACCAGTGCGGACCTTCTGGGTCAGGCCCCCCGCAGATGTCATCCCCTAGTGATGGGAAGGGTCACGAGCAGCCAAGTAGTGGACACGAGGTGAGCTGCAGTGATGACGTCTGAGCGCAGGTCCTTAATCCCCTAAGTCACATCCTAAATTACTAGGTTAACTTCCTGGGACTTATCTGGGAAATAACAGGCTCATCCCTACCCTGGCTGTTTGGGTGGAGGTTGCGGTCACACAGGGACGCCCGCGGGGACGCGAGCACAAGGCCCCACGCCCACGATGCTGCAAGTCTGAAGGCGGAGAGGGCATGAATGCCGCGGGCCCAGAGGCACACCTTCCTCCGCCCGCTCTCTTCCCGCCTGGAGCCTGTGCCCGGTGGGAAAGGGCCAGCCGGCGGGGCCGAGTCCGGCACTCACGTTCCCCGGCCGCGGACTCGGAACAGGGACTTCTCTGAGCCTCAGTTTCTCACCTGAAAAGTGGACATAATGTCCGCTGCCATCCCTGGGGTCCCGGGCGCGTGAGGCGGCGGCCCACGAGCGGACACCCGCGCCCGCTGCGGCCCACCACCCCGCGGAGGCCTCCTCTCTGCCCCGGGGCGACCCCAACAAGCCAGGCCCGGGGCCCAGGACACGGCGGCAGCGGCTACAGACGCCGTGCCTTGGGCACGGCGCGCGAGCGCAGGCCGGGCCGGGGGCCCCAGCAACGCTGCCTTTACCCCCGCTGCCCGCCACCCACTCACCTTCCGAGCCGGAGACGGCCGCGGCGCCGGCCGGAAGTGCTCCCCCGCCCTGGCCCCTGTGCGCTCCTCCCCGCCCGCTACCACTTCCGGGACGCTCTGGACGCCGGAGGACCGCCGCCTCGGTGGCCGCTCCAGGCTTGTGGCCGGGCGGGGCGGAACCTGTGGACATGCAAGGCCCGGGGCGGGACTTGCGGCCCGACGGCGTCGGGTGAGCGTAAAGAGGGGCGACACGTGGGTGTGCGACCGCGGGCTTTGGAGCGCCTCCGTAGGCGTGGGGTGCTGCTGTGGCAGCCTGGCTTCTCCGCGGGAGCGGTCGGGGCCCCTTCCAGCACTCTTGCCACGTCCCTCCCCCTCGCCCCCGCCTGACCCCTACACCATCCGAGGGCTCGTTTTACCCCCGGATTCTCCTGTAACTAATAGGTTTTAGATTCGATTGAGAAGCGCCGTCAAAATCATCCACAGTAGCAGCGTTCATTCCTGGGGACGTTTCTCCCGGACCGCCATCATTTGCTAGGGAACTTGGTGAAAACATTTTTTTTCTCCCTTTGTTTGGGTGTCTCGAATGCCGCTTTTTAAACTGTCCTGCCATCAAAAAGTGTCCCAGACTCTAGGGCTTGAGAAGTGTGTCACGGATTTTCCCAAAACCCCTTGATGGAATTCTTCTGAGTCTCTTTTACAGCCCTGTTCTTACAACCTGAGAAAGATAAAAGCATCTTCTTGCTGGGAAAAGCATACAGGCAGAGCAGGGTTCCATGAACTCACCCAAGGGATGGATGGCCAGCACGGTTGCTGGCCTGCCGCCCGTAGCCTTGGGCCTGAGCAGGCAGACAGCAAGGGAGGAGCCACAGCCAGGGGATCCCACTCTGGAGGGATGTTGGGGTCCGGGGATGGCAGTTGAAGTCTTGGGGTGACGCAGACAGCAAAGAAGGCAGCGGGAGTTGCCATGGATGGTGCTCAAAGGAAGCCACTTTATTCTGCTAAAGCTGTACTTTTTATACTGCTATAGTGCTGAGTCATTGTTACATAAGTATTGAAACCGCGCATGTGTGTGGCCTTCGTGGCCAGGTGTCTGGCCTTCAAGGCTCTTCTCTAGCTTCTTTCTCATGGGTACAATATTGCTGTGTTTTCAAGGTTTACAGACAAGGCCAGACACGTCTGGTTCATACAAGGCCAGACATACCGGGGTGAAGCAGCGGACAGCTGTCCTCATAGAACATTAGGGAAGGTGGGGGGGGGCTTTCCCTACATCCTACTCCTTTATAGGACAGCAGATGTCTGCTCCTTTCTTGCACACAAAGCAGAGCCTGTGCCCAGAGCCCCCAGAAACACTATAAAGAGCAACAACAGACAAGGAGGCCACATGCCCCAGTGGACACTATGGTTAGGAACCACTGACAAGTGGGGCCAGGCTGCGACATCCAAGTAGACAGGGGATCTTGGGAAAAGGCTTGTATCTGAGACATTTCATCATGTGTTTCCTGGAACATGGCTTGTATTTGCTGCTGGTGGTCTGGGATATAAACACAGCAGTTAACATGCAGTAAAGCACAGGTGCCCCCTTGTGCGGTATATCTAGAGCCATTCTGTTTGTAAAACCACCTTCCGCATTTGGGTGATTTTATCTAGCAATAAGGCCAGAAAGGACCTCATATTTAAGGCATGAGCAACATGCCGTGCCAGGGCTTCTATTTGTAGTTCTATTTCTATAGTGGCGGCAGCTTCTGGAAGGAAGGTAGCCAGGGGGGTAAAACTATGCCATCCGTTTAGGAAGATGCCAACAGGAATATACAGCATACCGATTATGTGTGGGCAGCAGCAAGGTTTGTATTATCTGTCCTGATACGTACGGGCGGCCCCAAGTACAAAGGCCTGTCTAATTTGCAGGGAGGTAGGACCAGACATATTCCCTACATATTCAAATGTTTTTCCTGGCAGGGTGTTGGTCACCACAGTGCCCACATAGGCATGACTGTTGGGGGGAGCATTGTGTATTTTTTTCCATTCTTGTCCTTGTCGCAACAAAGAATTGAAGGGTAGAGACACAGTAGTGAAGCAGAGTAAAAGTTTTATTTAAAATTACTCAAAAGAGGGAAAAAGTGCAGCAGGGAGGAGAGGCACCTTGAAAGGTTTAAGTTTTACTGAATGAGAGAAAGTCTCCGCACTTAGAAAGTGCGGGAGACCTAAGAGAGAGGTGTGTGCTGAAAGGTTCGCGGTTCCCCCTTTTAAGGATTTTTCAGGAATGTGATAAGGGGCTGAGGGTGCAGACTTGTTAAGTGGTCTCTGAATATTTAAAATTAACCTAACACAAGAAATTTACTGCTCTGATTTCCTCCCAAGATAGCAGCTTCCTGCTTTGGGAGCATATCAATTAAGACTGCCTGCCCTGCCTCCAAGGTGGGCTGAGTTGTCTTTTTACTAAAGAGTAAGTTAAGAATCTTACTTTACTTCCTGGGTTTTATAATGCGATCTTTTCTTTAAGATGGAATCCATCTTGCCTTTGACTATGTCGTTTACAGCTGGGCCTGCTTGCTAAATTAGTTGCCCAGGTTTCAAATTACTTGATTAGGGCTGAAGGAGAAAAAAACAGCATATAGGTAAAGTTAAAAAATAAGCTGGGCCTGTGTGATTAGCACAATAAAGACATGGGCTATGCTGAGTACCCTCCTTTATCTGGGGTATATTCAGACATTCCAGGCCAAGTTACTCCTGGCTTTTTGAGCATTAACTGATTAACTCTGGTTCTTTTTTAGTGGACTTTCCTGGCCTTATTCTCTTTCTACCCCATGCATATCTATTTTCCTGCCTAACATGACCATCATAGCAGTGCTTAGGGGTGCGATCAACACTGACATTGGTACACAGTTCTCTGGGTAATGAGCCAACCATGAGATTAGGTATGGAAACCTGCTGTTCAATGCACAGCAGAGCTACGGTTTGCAAGGTGTATACTAGACATCCATCCCTGCTCATTACACACAGTACCCTCCCCAGGCAGAGTGTGTGCTGATTGTTGGATCAACTGCTCAGTTACTCTCTGTTTTGCTTTGCCTTCGGCATCACTACAATTCTATGCTCGAAGGCATTCCCACGTGGACAGGTTGGTGGGAGCGATTTTCCATGGCAGTCTGGCAGTGATTTCTGTGGGCAGTTCCATACACACCCAGCAATGGGAGACATTATGTACCTGGGCAAAAGTATGGGTTCATGACACCATATTATTGCTGTCAACCTGGGTGGAAAGACAGAGCAATGATACCATCAGTGGCAAGTCCTGGTTATCCAGGAGAATGCAAGTGACCTTGTCATCTTGCAACAAAACAGTGGCTGCCAGGGGAGGCTTTCCTGGAATGTGATACCAGACCATAGAGCCCAAAGACACCAGCAGAGCATCAGGTTCAGCCTTCAACAGAAATGGTGGTACTGGCCACACTCACATAACCAAAGTCCCTGCCAATATGGCTGTTGCCCTCTCCGGCAAGGAGGCAGTCAGTTTAAAAGGCTACTTTCCTATCCATGGGGTAACTTGTAACCCATGAATCAGCCTTTCCCACCATATCTCATACAGTGTGACCCATGGATGTTCTTCAAACACCAAGGTCCACGGCCACATCCACTCCTTGGTGCAGCCAGGAGACAGTGTAAGTGGGGCAGGAAGGTGGGATGTTTCTTCCAGCAACTGTGGCTACAACTCACTGGGGCCTTGTTTTAAATATATTCAAGATGTATGGGTGAGTCACCACCAACCTCTCTATGGGACTTTCCCCAGTTTCCGTGGTTGCTCATTCAGCAAGCATACTGCTAGGGTAAGTGCTTCACCCACTGCATCCATCCTAAATGTTTTAATTTGTCCTTTGACAGCCCGTTATACCTTTTTATTATTCCAGCCACTTGGGGTTGATACGGTACAACCATTTCATTGTAATCACCATACAGTGTACTGTTGTCAAGCCCATTCTTGTCTCTCCTGTCCTGTAAGGTGGCTCCCTTGGTCACTGTTGACCATTAATGGATGCCCATACCTGGCACATAAGTGCTCCAAGGCCTGTTTAGTAGCTTGTTGGGTGGTCTGGGCCACGGGATGGGCAAAACCCAATCCTGTAGCCACATTCACTGCTGTGAATGCATATTTACATCCCCAATTACTGGGCAAGGGCATATGTAAACTACTTGCCACACCTGTAAGGGTTCTGGTGGGCGGGGGAGCTGTCCCTCTTGCATCGTTGTTACCAACAACGATGTGGGTAAAAGTGAGCGCATTGAACACATTTGCACCGCTTATTTTGCGTCAGCAAATATCAGTGGGCTGTGCCATCTCTGGGCAACTTTACACGTAGTAAAAGTTGCCTATGCGCCCTAGTTTCTTATGCAGCCATGGCTCCATGTCCACAGGGAGCACTCCCGGGGCACATGAGCCCTGACCAAGGCATTTCCAGGGCCTAGTGCTGGGCGGTGTCCTGATGCACGATGTATTAGGGCACCTTACTTTAACTCACGGGTCCACAGGTCTTTTCATATCGTTTGACCCCACAGGGGGCGACGACTGATTTCCCTCGATTTCCCAGGCCTGTGCTGCTGACTGAGGCAACCAGTGAGGCCACAAAACACAGCCCAACTCTCAGTACAAATGGTTATCTGACCTGATTCTCATCAAGACAAGCCACATCACCCTGTCGGCTGGATTGCCCTACTCTGGACTCATACCAGAACTCTTCCTGTAAGGGTTGAATGGCGACAGCCACCCATGTCGGTGGGTGGCCCTTTGTGGACCCATCCGTATACCAGGCCTCTGCTGGTGGTGTCCCTGTCCCCTCCTCATAGGGGCTTTCCGTTGGCACTTCCACATTCGGTAAGGTGGGAGTGGGTTCAACCCCAAAGGTTAATGGTCCCAGGACTTGCTGCAATTTCTGTAAGAGAGGGCTTTTGGAGAATCTAGCCCACTGTTCTAAATAGGCTCCCCACTTGGTCAGGGTGGGTGTCTGGGCAACCCCAGTCCA